AGTCCCATATGTATGTTATGTAGTCTCATCTTTATTTTATGCAGCCCCATATATGTGATATGTTGTCTCATATTCATGTTATGCAGTCCCGTATTTATGTTATATTGTCTCATATTTATTTTATGCCGTCGCATATTTGCGTTATGTAGTCCCATATTTATGTTATGTTGTCTCATATTTGTGATATGTTGTCTTATATTTATGATATGCAGTCCCGTATTTATGTTATGTTGTCTCATTTTTATGTTATGTAGTCCCATCTTTATTTTATGGAGTCCCATATTTGTGATATGTAGTCTCATATGTATGTTATGCAGTCTCATATTTATTTTATGCCGTCGCATATTTGCGTTATGCAGTCCGATATTTATGTTATGTAGTCCCATCTTTATTTTATGCAATCCCATATTTGTGATATGTTGTCTCATATTTATGTTAGTCCCGTATTTATGTTATGTTGTCTCATATTTATGTTATGTAGTCGCATATTTATTTCATGCAGTCGCATATTTATGTTATGCAGTCCTGTATTTATGTTATGTTATCTCATATTTATTTTATGCCGTCGCATATTTGTGTTATGCGGTCCCATATTTATGCTATGAAGTCCCATATTTATGTTATGTAGTCCCATCTTTATTTTATGCAGTGACATATTTGTGATATGTTGTCTCATTTTTATTTTTACCGTCGCATATTTATGTTATGTTGTCTCATATTTATGTTATGTAGTCCCATCTTTATTTTATTGAGCCCCATATTTGTGATATGTTGTCTCATATGTATGTTATGCAATCCCATATTTATGTTATGCAGTCCCTGATATGTTGTGTCATCTTTATTTTATGTAGTCCCATCTTCATGTTATACAGTCCCGTATTTATGTTATGCAGTCCTATCTTTATGTTGTACAGTCCCGTATTTATGTTATGTAGTCTCGTATTTATGTTAGTCAGTCCCATATTTATGTTATACAGTCCCATATTTGTGATATGTTGTCTCATATTTATGTTATGCCGTCTCATATTTGTGATATGTTGTCTCATATTTATGTTATGCAGACCCGTATTTATGATATGTTGTCTCATCTGTATGTTAAGCAGTGTCGTATTTATGTTATGTCGTCCCATCTTTATTTTATGAAGTGTCATCTTTATTTTATGCAGTCTCATATTTATGCTATGCAGTCGCATCTTTATTTTATGCAGTCCCTGTTATGTTGTGTCATCTTTATTTTATGCAGTCCCATATTTATGTTATGCAGTTCCATATTTATGTCATGTAGTCCCATAGTTATGTTATAGAGTCTCATTTGTATGCCATGCGGCGTACTGCAAGCCGGGCGTGTTATAATGCGCGTGTGTCTTACTGGCCTGTTTCATCTTTGTGTAGTTCATTCGTAGTGTGGTAAAGTCCTAAATTACTACCACAATGTAGTTTACGGCAACCGCTCCGTAAAAGGCAAGGACTTGCGCATTAGATAGATTTGTTTTCATTTCGCAGGCCTGAGTGGTTTAAAGAGGGTCGGCAAGGAGTATTTTCGTAAGCAGTAATCAATTGTTTTTAGTTTCGTAATAATGTAATTTAAATAAATAAAAAACGTAAATTCGTAGACATGGACAAGGTGTAAAATGTAATCAGCTATTGTATTCGTCCGTAAATTGTACAAAGGCATGACATGAAGATGGGGTTGCATTACATAAATACGGCATTGCATAACATAAAGATGGGACTACATAACATCATGAAAAAACATCACATAAAACAGTTACGGCGTTCCATACAAAACACTTATTTTGGACTCTCATTCATTTTGACTTTACGCACTGTAAGATGTAAAATCCTCTCAGCAAAGTCTTCATTGTAATCTCTTTACTTGATTGCATATCAATGGCGTGGTGTGTCAAAAGGCTGTGGTATTAATTTATTAATAATTAACATTATTATGAATGTATTTGTGATTATGTCTAATAGAGCCAAGGAAGATGATCCTAACCCACTTGAATGCCCAGTCGTGAAAACAATTGCTGAAAAGTATGGTAAAACACCTGCACAAGTATTGCTTCGATTCTCAATCGATCGTGGATGTTCTGTCATACCAAAGAGTGTCAATCCCAAAAGAATGAAGGAAAACATAGAGGTGAAATTAACACTAGCCATTTATGTGTTTATATTCATCACAACTATGTACATAATGGGTTGATGAGTATCTTTAAAATACAGGTTATATCAGTACCATTGACTCGCTCGGTTCATTTGTTTGTGCCTCATATTTTTTTTTCAGATTTTTGATTTTAAACTCACATCTGATGATATCAAATCTGTCGAATCGTTTGATCGTGGTTGGAGACAAGCTGAAGTATCACTCTGGTCTCTGTAAGTCAATTTATGTTCACGTCCCTTATATTCAAAGTAAACCCAAGTTGTAAATTGTTATTTCGGGATTATGTATTGGCATTCTTCGTGAAACATTTCCGTCAAAAAATCAGATAATCAACTTTAGTTAATGGAGTACATCCTTTCTACTCTGATGAGATACATTTATATTAAGTATACAAATATGTGAAACACAACATACAGTCAAACTGTTTTTTTTTACAGTCTGAAAAAACACCCGCATTATCCATTCGGTGAAGATTTTTAATTTGCTGTGAAATTGACTAACTCACTGGTCGTCAAGAAGAAATTATGTGTTATTTTAATATTGTATTAACGAGCAAGTGTCTCAATAAATGATATCACATTATGAACTGTGTTACGTAATAGTTTCAGTTATTATTGGTGACTAAATAACTGTTTATAGTACCGGGTGGGGTTATGGAAAATTCATGTACACCATTTTGAGTCATTTGTTGATATGTTTGATTATTTGATTTCACACAGAATCACTGTAACGTACTTGTCAGAAAAGCCTCCTTCCGCACTGATGGTGCCTACAATGACCGCGACATGATGAATACATTGAACATTGCCATATGCAATAAGATAACTTAGAGTTGACAATATGATTTGTTTCTGGTAAGCGCGTCGTTAAAAAAAATGTTTGTTTTTTTATACTTTTTTTGCAATACATCTGTCACCGTAAAGCCATAAGTTACAGTGTGCCATAACTTTGTGTTATTGTACTGGGTATTTTCCTCCTACGATTTAAGGAAACGCAAATTCCAAATATAGAATGATTACGCGCGTAATCGTCCTCTAATAATAAAAACAAACATGGTTTGACCGAACCCAACACAAAGAAGTTTGCTAAATCTGTTCTATATGATTTGGATTTCTGCATTGCCATGATGTATTTATTCGTGGGGGGTAAAGTTGTATAATAATAAGGTTATTACGTGGATACTACAAAACATGCACTTTCTGGGGGCGGCGGAATTCTCCCCCTTAACACTTTTGAAATCTAGACCCTCTGAAACGCTATTTTCTGACACAAAGGGTTTCAGCTTGATTTTGGAGGGGCGACGCCCCAACATTCTTTACGAGGGAAGACCCGCCTGCGCCGCCGCCATAGATGCACTAAGACAGTATGCACCCAGACAGTACGCGGTCGCATCGACCTTCGCTGCGCGTCGGTCGATACTTCCCCGTAATAACCTCATATTATTGTTCTGTCAATGGCTTTTCTGTCAATGGCTTTTAGCAGTTTGAAAAATGATATTGCATTTGCATATTTTTTCATTAATTCCAAAAATTGGTGATAGTTTTTCTTTATAGATGTTATTTCTATTTCAAACTTGGAAGCTGCGTAGAAACTGCGTTGCTTCTTCTTAAGAAGATATGGCAATTTCATTCACATTTGTATCATATTTTGATATATTTGCAAAATGTGATAGTTATATTTCTTGCAAAATCTGTCAAATTGGCGTGTTTTTTTACTAGGAAATTCACACTCCATTCATAATGCACCTGTTCTCAACAGAATACGAGCTTTCAACTAAGTGATTGGTTATGACAGCAACATCGGTCAAGTTTTAATTCAACTTACCAACGTCACCATCACTTAACACGATATTGCGGCCTAATTTTGCCGACTACAGAAGCCAATTATATGATAACATTTTGTACGAATCTGAAAACATTCCGAACAGCAAACAGCAAAGTCGGATTTCCAATCAACTACGCAAAGTTTTCCGTAGATTTGCACAACTTTGTACGCTGTTCTTGTATGACAGTCTCGTAGTATAATGAGCGTTTAAGAGTCTTTTTCCCGAGCTTTCAACAACGTGATTCGATATTACACCAAGATCGGGCAACTCCGACAGCTTTGCTGTTCCCATCAGGTTACGGTCAACGTTTTCCGAATACATAAGCATTTTTTTCCTGACATCTTAAAACATTCCATGAATAGTCTATCTTATTTTTACAACTTTCAACTAAATATTATCGACGCCACATTTACGAAAAACACATCTTAATTGACATATGTCATTTGCATATGTGTTTCCAACTTTAACAAATTATTGTCCTCACTGGTTTGTGAAATTTATCTCGAAATCAAGTACACTGTAGCCTCACTATAACGAACTCTTTGGGAGACATACAATTCGTTTGTTATAGTGAAATGTTCACTATAATGAAGTACATAATACATTGGGTTTGTTGTGAGAGGGAGACACGCTATGTGTGCATTATATCAGGAAGTTCATTATAACGGTGTTCATTATACTGAGGTTACAGTGTACTAGACACGTTCGATACAGCTTTACATTTTGGACGGGACAATTACCTGCTGATTCTGATAATATGCATTTTTGTCTTACTTTGCTTTGTGTGTACTAACCAAACTATACCTTCATATGAGTTCAAAGCTATATCCCCACGCAAA